AGTGTGGCGCTGGGAGCGCAGCGGCACTTCCACCACGGGTTCAGATCCTATATAGGGATGGCTGGTGCACTCACTGGCTGAGTGTGGTGTGGGCAACACCAAGCCAAGAGTTACGATCCCCTTACCGGTCACAAAAAAAAAAAAAAGTGTGGGCTCTGGTGGCAAGACACATTGCCTGGGTTTGGATTCTGTCTCATCTACTGTGGGGCAGAGGTCTTGATCAAGTTACCTGCCTGTGTCTCAGTTTCCTCTTCTATAAACAGGGGTAGTGATAGCACCTCCAGTACTGGAACTGTCTGTGGACCTGACCTCTCTGGGTCCCTCTGTCCCCATCATATGCTATGCAGCATCCAGACCTGCTTATAATGAGCTGCCCAGCACCTCCCTCAAAAGCCCCCCAGAAAGGTTCTGGTGAATTAATGCTCCTACAGGGTGTAAATGACTGATAGCAATTTCCTCAGTTCTTTGCAGCCTAACTTAGTTTTAATCCTAAGAATAACATTCTGACGGTGGAGTTATTTCAGTCTTGGGGACTGGCCGATGGGAGAAATCAGATTCCTTTACAGGATTACAGGAAAATGAGGACCATCAGAATCTCTAAAAGAGAACACTCACCGGAGTGTTGATGGGGTTGAATTGCTGACTCAGGATGAAAGGCTTTCCCTTGGCTTCCTGACTTCCTAGGTTTGGGGATCTACCTGTGTGTGGTCATTACCTTCTCCTGCCTCCTCAGCACGGGCAGCACTCATTGCCTAACACCACACCTATGTCACACCGTACCCTCTGCCTGATGTTCCTTCCCACAGACCCTTTTTCCAACAGCAGGTTCTCCTTCATGCACTCCCACCATCTCCAGTCCTCAGATGCATCCAGGCTGCACTTTATAGTAGTTTGCAGAGGAGGTCCCCTGGAACAGAACTCAGGGGACACTGCGTGAGAGATTGCTGAGGGGTCAGGAAACAGCTGAGAGTCACTGGGTCACATCCAGGTCTGATTCCCCGGGTGAACTTAGGTTGCTCTGCTCCAGGCTTGAGTTTTGCCACCTCTGGATGGGGGTGGGGTGGGGAGGTGGGGGTTATTACACCACCTCCCAGGTATTGTCAGGGAAATGATATAATGTAAAAGAAAGTGCTATGTACATTATTATCATCATTTCACGAAGGCTTAGAGAGTGAAGCTACGAATCCGGGGTCACCTAGCTGATGCCCCTCCCAGAAAAGGAGACTGCGGCCCAGAGAGACCTCAGCCTACCTGGTCCTGGGGCCTGGACGGGCGGCCGGAATGGATCTCCGCTGACGCCTCTTGCGCCCCCTGGTGGCCGTTGTAGCACGCGCTCGGCAAGGCGCTTTCACATCCTGTGTGGGTCCTGCTTCTGCCCCGCAGCTCCCCCATTTCACAGACAAGAAAACCGAGCCTGGGTGTGCAGGGACTCGTCAAGATCTTCCCAAACTGTGTTGGGGGATGACGCCCCTCCCGCTCCCCACCCCAGTCTTTGGACATTCCGGAGACGCCTGGCGATCACCGGTGCACCACCCTCCTCCCGTCACGTTTTTTTCCTCTACACGACCCTTTTCTCTCTTAGTCGCTTCTCCTCGTGAAAAAATAATGGGAGTGTCAACGAGTAAAAAACTGTGGGACAAGCAGGTTCTCAGTCAAATGGGCCTAATCTAACCTCTTCCACAGAGTCGTGAGAATTAAATGGGAAAATGCGTGTATGGTACACTGGAAATGTTCCGTAATAGGCGTTTCCCGCTACCCCCTCCCCTCCCCTCCCGCCTCCTTCTGACTTTTACCTTCCTCCCCTGCAAAGTGGGGGAGGGGTGGGAGGAGGAGTCTGTCATCTTCCAGCAGGGGGCGCGCTAACCACTGTTTTTTTTTCCTGTGGAAAGAAATTGGGGCTCATAGGAGTGGAACCACCCCCACAAGACCCTCAGAGGCAGGGAGGGGAAAGAATACACCCATTTGACAGATGCAGAAACTAAGGCCCATGAAGGCAAGGTGAGCAACCCAAGGGGGCAGAACATGTAAATAGCAGAGCTAGGATTCAAACCAGGTCCCCAGTGAGTGTCTGGCTGAGCCCTGCTATGTATGGAACGATCTGTGGTGTGAGGTACTCTGATAAACATGGGGGGCTCTGATGGCACTAGGTCATACCTTCTGCTGCGCAATTCGGTAAAGCCTCTGAGATATGTGTGAGGTCCAACATGTGCTCAAAGAGAGAGATGGACTGAGTGAGGGGATAGGGGGTGAAGGGACAGATTCACAGAAGGGATCCTTGAGAAGCCAGTTGGAGTCCTGACAGGGCAGGACAGGTATCCCAGGCAAAGAGGCCAGCATGCACAAAGGCACAGAGGCAAGTACCCAGGGACACGTGGCTGGAGATAAAACTCTCAGTGCTATGCCCTGGCTGGTCCCCAGTGCATACTCCTCGCAGACCTCCTCCCACATCAACTCCATCCTTCCAGTTCATTATCCGGGTCACGCACCTGGATACCCAGACCACCATGCTCACCTCCTCTCTCACGCCGCATATTGCTGGCTCTATCTCCAGGACGTAAGAACTCAATTGCTCTCAGCCCCCACAACTGCTCATCACAACAGATCTGAGCCCCCATCATTTCTTTACCCCTAATTGGTCTCTGCTTCCATCCTTGACCTCTGAAGTCTCTTTCCAACCCAAGCACTAGGTCAGACCATGTTACTCCTCTGCTCAGAACCCTGGAATAGCTCCCTGCCTTATCAGAGTAAAAGCCAGTCTTCAAGATGACCTATGAGGCACTAGATAAGCTGCCCATCACTCCCTAAGCTCATCTCCTACCAGGCCTCCCCTCACTCACTCCACCCCATTCACTCTGGCTCAGTGCTGCTCCTGGAATACACGCTCACTCCAGGGACTTTGGGAAGCCAACCCAGAGGTTAACAGAAGCCTGGGAGGAGCCCAAGAAAAGAGTGGGAGAGGCCTGAGCTGTGAGGGCCCCTGACATCCAAGACTCTGGTGGCCGGCACAAGATGCGGTCAGAGTAGTGGGTGAAGAAACGGGACGGTAGGCCCACAAGGAAAGAGAGCCGAAAGGAAGTGCCACTCTGGTGCCTACTGGAGGCTGCAGAGTGGCAGACCTGGCCCTCATGTGGCTCTGTGACCAGGCACCTTGCCAGTGGGCACAGGATCCCCATTCACAGCGAGGCCTCTGTGGCTCAGAAGGGGACAGCAACTCGCTTTGGTCAGGAGACTGTCTCCGTGGCACTGGCTCGGCCTCCAAGGTACTGGTGACCTTGAGAAAGTTACGGCCCCTCCTGAAGGCTTTCGGTTAGAACACAGGTGAGTCGATCAGAAAAGGTCTCTCTGGTCTTCAGGCCCTCCTCACCTCCTGCCCCTTCAGTTCTTGCCAGTAAAAGTGGTGGCTCCAAGAGTCACACTTGCAACTCATTAACTCACCTGCCCTGGGGGAAATTCCTCACTTTGGGGTAGGAGTTCCCCCATTAACCCTTTAGAAACTGCAGAGGGTCTGGTGTGTGTGTGTGTGTGTGTGTGTGTGTGTGTGTGTGTGTCCAGCCCAAGGTCATGCAGCAAGGTAGGGGCCAAGGCAGAACTACAGAACTAAAACTAATTTCCAAACTCCTAGATTGCTCTGGGCTAATATCCAGAAGGGTGAAGCAGTGACTGGAGAGGAGAGGAAGGGAGGGAGGCGCAGGAGGGGGATCCAGGATTTGGTGATGGGGGAGGGAGAGGGTTACAAAAGATACACAGGTAGGTGAGGAGCCAGCCCTGGGAAAGAGCTTCTGGAGAGAGGAAGGGTAAAGTCTCTGGGAGAGACTGGCTAGAGCAGAGAGCTAAGGAGAGGGAGTGGTGGGAGTGGAGGGGGTTAGGAGGGAGAGTCAGGCCCAGACCAGATTTTGAATCCCTCCCTCAACCATGTAAGGGCTTTCATTATTCAGAGTGAGCTGGGAACCACGCAGCAGTTCTACTGCAGGGAAGAACTGATCTGGCCAGGGGGAACAGGCAGAAGCAAGGCGATGGATGGGGGACTACTGTAAGGGTCCAGGCCTAGGTGGGAGGATCCCAGGCCCAGGGCCCAGCCAGGCCTGCAGGAAACACTGGCTCTGACTTTGTTCTATGTGATTTTACCTCTCTGAGGCTGTTTCCTTGCCTGTTAAGTGGGGACAGCACCAACGTAGCAGAGCGTCTTTGAGGATGTGAGACAGTGGCAGAGGGCCTGGTCCGGCACACAGTAGGCTCTCAGGATGCCACCCTTATCCAGCTGACTGAGCCCCAGGCCTCTGAGTGCCTGCTTGCTCTGTGACCCTGGGAAGGTCATTGAGCCAGTTTTCTTATCTGAAATGGGGTGGGATGAAGACGTAGGGAAGCAGAATGTAGCTGGACAGAAAGCAGACATTTCTGCCATATCTGACAAGTAAAGGGAGGTAGTAGGCTTCCTGTCACAGGAAGTATGGGAGCAGAGGCCAAATTTGCATGTGGTGGAGGTGACAATCACTGCATACTTAATAGGCACTTGGCACAAGGCTAGGAAATCTGCATTATTATTTGATGCATTAGCACTGAGCTTACAGTGGCGATGTGAGCTCACAATGTCAACTATTGTCATCTCATTGAATACTCATGACTCAACTCTATGAAGTAGGGGCTGGCGCCACTGTAATTCCCAGCTCCTATTTTACAGATGAGGAAAGTGAGGCAGAGAGAGGAAGAGTCACTTGTCCAAAGTCATTAAGCTGGTACATGATGGAACCTGTGCACAAGTGGTCTGAATTGAAAGCCCATGTTCTTTCAGTTATAAACTCAGTCCATGAACTTGGGCCAGCTCTGCCTCTGCCTCTGGGCCCCAGTTTTTCTCATCTGTATAAAATCTCCCCGCTGACAGCCATTCGAGTGTGCCATCTTGGATGTTCTGGTCCAGTTGGGCCCCTGATGACTGCAGCCTCACCGAAATCACATGTGGCAGAACCACCCCACTGGGCCCAGGCAACCCACACAGTCACGAGACATATAAAATGGGATTTATTTTAAGCTACCGAATTTTGGAGTGGTTTGCTACACAGCAATAGATAAATAAAACAGCACTCGGCGACAAGCATTCGTTGAGTGCCTACTATGCACCAGGCACTGTTCGGACACTGGAACAGGCCCATCATTTTTGTCTCTGGCTTCAGGGCCTTGTAGGAGCCTTTAACTTCCTCTCCCTGCAGTTTGAACCAGGCCTGGGCAGGAGGATTCAGCACGAGGCGCTGTTTCTCTAGAAATGGTATCAAGAGCCAGGATGATGCTCTCGTAGCTGGGCGGAGGTGAGAGGGGCTGGCACACAAGCAGGGCATCCTCTGGGCCATGGCACTTCAGGTCTCCTGCCATGGGGTGCGCAGATGGTGTTGGGGGCCCCTCAGCCAGTGGGCAGCACACAGCCTCCTCGTAAGTGGGGATAGCAACCGCCTTCCGGGTCCTACAGGGACAGAAGAAGAAAGGCTGTTAGCAGCGGCTAGGGCAAAAACCTACTGCACGCCAGGGAGACTAAGGAAGGCTGGGGACGACGAAGGCTTCGTGGCCTGTCCCAACCTTCGCAGCTCCACAGTGCCCCATATCCACAACTGAATCTTGGTATGGGCTGGGCCCTGACAACCTCAGCTCTCTTACCCCTTCCTCCCCTCCCAGTATAGTTAGTGCCCCGTAGGTGCCCACCACACCTCCTCCTGCTGCTCAGTTCTCTCTGCAGGGAAAGTCCTTCCCATCTCCCTCACCCCTTCTCTGGTGGCCACTCCTCGCTTGTCCTTTGAGACTCCTCTGGGAAGCTTCCCTGACCCATACTTCCCCCAGCAAAGCTCCCACTCGCTGCTCTGGGATCCCACAGTGCTCTTCTTTGTCACTGCATTGACCCTGATGGTGGTCCCCTAGGGCAGGGACTGGTTCTGAGTGTCCAGAGGCTGAAAGCAGGTTCTTGGGGATTTTTTTAAAAGACTGAGTGATGGTCCATGGACAGAAAACTCTCAACTTATTGAAATATCCTTTACAAAATCAGAGTTGTGATGCCAGGACAGAATGGAAGACCTCAATTCTCCTGCCCATCTGGATGCCTGAGGCCTTGATATGATGTCTGCCAAGTGATTACTTCTGCTTGCATACCTCCAGGGATGGAGAGCTCACTACCTACCAAGTCAACCATTTCTATCTCTGGACAGCTTAGCTTTCCTGTGATTCTTTCTCCTGTCCAACTGAACCACCCTACAGGGACCTGAGGCAGAGACCAGATCTTCTGAGGTTCCACTGACCAAACTCTGCAGGCCAGATTCCAAGAATAGGTTACCTGCATCCCAGCCACACCAAAGCTGATGGGAATGAGACTGCCCCTCAGCCCTCTCAGAGCCCTGACAGGTCATCTCCAGGGAGCCAGTGACGCTTCCCCTACCAGGACCCTGATCACTGACCCTGAGTGTCACTGATCTTCGGTCTGGGCTGCTACTACTTTGGGGATAATAGTGCCAGATATAGGGCTGACTGGGTGATCTTGAAGGTCCCTTCTGATACTGAGTCACTCAGGGCAGTTATGAGTCTGGGCACTGGCTGGCTCAACTTCTTCCTCTGCCACATTCTTGGTGGGAGATCAGTAACTCCATTAATTGGGGCCTCAGTCATGCCATCTGTAAAATGGGGGACAATAATGACACTTAAATAGTAGCCATTAACAAAATCTCAAAGATCCCCCATAAGGAAGGGGTGGGGGCAACAAAACTTATTACAGGTCCCCTGCATGTCAGGCTCAGAGAGCCTGAGCCACTTGCCCCGGGTCCTCAGTTTGCAGCTGGTGGGGGAAGCAGTTTAATCCACACCAGTGGTCTTGCCATCTAGATGGGGGAGGGGCCGACGGTGGGAGGCCAGCCCAGAGGACAGAAGAGGTAGTGGACGGGACTTGCTCTGGTGGCTGATGGAGGGGCCATGCTGCTTCTGCCCCCTCACGTGAACACCCAATGCCCACTGGAGACTTGGCCTTTCTCTGGCAATTTCTCTTTCATCCCAAGCCCACCGCAGCCCTCAGAGTGGCCCACTGGGGAGGAAGGTTTGCTGCTCCCAGTCACAGACCAGGGGGAAAGAGCAAGCTGATGGGGTCCCTGGATCTGAACCCCAGCCTATGTGCCAGTGTGATGCAGGGCACTAGCCAGGAGCCAAACATAGGGCTCCCCATCCGGCACTCCTGGGAGCTCTCACAGAACTTCCTTCTCTGGAAAACAGCCCAAGAGCCTGCAGCCTCCTCTGAGCTCCCAGCATCCTTTGCAGATGAGGGCAGGACAAAGAATATTGCTCCCAGAGGCAGGTAAGCTGCATTCTATTACTGGGCGACTTGGGGTGTGTTCACACCTTCTCTGAGCCTCTTTCTCCTCATCTGTGAAATAGAAATAATAATTCCCCTTTCACAGATTCAGGAGAGAGAAAAATAAAAAAACAACACTCAGAAAAACATGGGTAATAAAGCTTCCAGAGCCCCCACATCTCCTGCCCAACCATACCCCTGCCCCTCCCCAGCTGCTTAGAGCCCTGGAGACATGAGACAGCTTTTGGGTATGCCTGGGGCCACCCCAGCAGGCGACAGCTGGCAGGGCAGGGCACAGGTGCCAGGTGAGCTCAGCTCACAGCAGAAAGTTTTCTTAGAGGGCAGATGTGGAGTGGCCCAACTGTCATCTCAGTGGCCAGCTGGGCCCACCCAGCCCCACATCTCCAAGGTCACGATCTAGAATGCCAGGAACTCGGGGCCCTGTGCCGGGCAGCCATGTCACACACTGCTGCAGAGAGGGCTCCATTCGTGGTGTATTCTGGATATGGCGACCCTACAGTTGTGTGTGGCAGTCCTGCCACTATGGTCTCCATGTACAGGAAGCTCCACCCAGGCCAGGGGCTCGCCCCTCTCTTTGGAGCCTGGTCAGGGCAGGAGACCTGGGCCTGGCATCAGCTCTACTGCCTTTCAGCTGAGTCAGGCAAACACAGCAGGAGAAGGGGAAAGGGACAAGGGGGGAAATACTATTTGCCCAACACTTAAGTTCTCTAATCACATTTCATATTCATGACAACTCTAGTGGGTAACAGCTGTCACCCATTTTACAGATGAGTAAAAGTCATGTATCAACTACACGGCAAAGCCCCAGCTTTACCTGATTGCAAAGCTCAAGCTAACTGCAGCTATCACACCTCTCCCCCAAGCCACCTAATCTCTCGACGCCTCAGTTTCCTCATTGGCAAAACGGGCCAGATCCCTACCCTTGGCCTCAAAAGCCGCTGAGGCTCAAATCAGTCAGTGGGCATGAGAGCACATAGTAAACTGGAAAGCACAGTAAGAGCAGAGAAAGCTAATGTGTGCACAAACTGCAGTGTGGACACCTCCCTGTCATCTCATCTGAGCCCAACAGCGATTGGAGGGGAAAGGCTGTCACACTCAGCTGACAGATGAGGGATCAGACATGGCTCGGAAGGTCTAAGTAACATACTCAAGGACACACAGCTTACACAAGAAAGAGCAGAGACTGCTGTAGGACTCAGGACAGAGGACCCTGGAGCCCTCACATCCAACTACCTCACTTAAGGGGCTTGCATATAAGATACAATCTTCCTGAAAGCAGGGGTTTTGTCTGTTTTGCTCACTGTTGCACTGACAGTACTCTGCATAGGACCCAACACACCGTAGGTGCATACTAAATAGTAGTTAAGTGCATGAAGGGAGCTGGCCAGTTAGCTCAGTTGATTAGAGTGTGGTGTTTGTAACACCAAGGTCAAGGGTTCAGATCCCTGTACTGACCAGCTGCCAAAAAAAGCAAAGCAAAACAAACAAACAAAAAACCAAAAATGCATGAGGGACTAAGTAGATGAATAAATGGGGAAACTGAGGCCCAAAGGGGAAGGGACCTGCCCAAGCCATCAGCCTAGGGGTCCTTTGTCTCTGACCCGAATTACCCATAGCCAGGCACCTCCAGAGAGCAAGGTGCCTGGGAGTAGGAATAGGAGAGTGGCTTCCTCCATGGGGGCCAGATGCTGGGCTCTGCAGGCAGCAGAGCTGGGCTGGGTCAGCGTCAGGGGCAGGAAAGAGCACCACTAGCAGAAGCAACCTCCCCGACACCTAGCCACCCCAGTTTCCGAATCTAAGACTTAGTCTCAGAGCCTAATAGACTAGGAGCACCCTGCCGCCTCCTGGATGGGCTTCCTCCCTGGCCTGCTGGGAATGAAGGCTGAGTGGCCCCACCTGACAGCCGCAGCTGTGGCCTGGACTCTGTTGCATCAACACGGCTGTGTATACAGACAACACCCCCTCCACCCCCCTGCATTCATGCCAGGCTGGGTTGGGAGGAATGGGCTCTGGTCCAGAGCATGCCAAGGTCTGGCCTGGCTCCAACTGACCACTAACTCGCTGTGTGACCCAGTATGTCACTTGGTTTCTCTGAGACCCAAGTTTCTCACCTGAGCAGCAAAGGGTTTGGCTGGATAGTCCCCAAGATTCAAACCAAGGTCTGAATATTGTACCAAGTGGCTTCTGTTGAATACTGTCTCATCTCTAGCCTCAAGGAGTCACAGGCCAGTAGTGGGAATACTCGTGCATTCTGTAACTCGGAATGAATTTCCATCCAGGTCCCAGGGCAGCTCATGGAAGTCTAGATTAACCCCTAACATGCCCGAATACAGCTCTTCGGGAGTGGCATGGGGAGAACGCAAGCTTGCAGCCAGGCGCTCTCGCCACTTTCCAGCTGTGCGTGCCTTGCCTTCCTCTTCTGCAGATGGCAGTGCTACTGCTTGCCTTGGAGGGGACAGAAGGACAGAAGATGAAGTATACAGGTCCCTGGTATGTAGGCACACTCGATGCTTTGTTGAATACGTAAGTACGTAATAAGGGCTTTCACATTGCATGCATTCTCTGCAGGGCAAAAATGGGTTCTTGGGGAATGTCGATACTCCCTTTATATATTAAGTACAGATATAGATACAGAACATAAACAGGTACACAGTATATTTTTGCATTATTAAAATTTCATGTGAGAGGATTTAGAAAAATGTCTAAAAAGGCTGGGGGGTAGGTACTAGCTTTCACATTGCATGCATTCTCTGCAGGGCAAAAATGGGTTCTTGGGGAATGTCAATACTCCCTTTATATATTAAGTACAGATATAGATACAGAACATAAACAGGTACACAGTATATTTTTGCGTTATTAAAATTTCATGTGAGAGGATTTAGAAAAATGTCTAAAAAGGCTGGGGGGTAGGTACTGATAATGAAAAAAAGGTTGAGAAATGCTGTCTCAATGCAACATTTTGTCTCCACCCCCCACCCCACCCCCTTTGCACATGCTCTGCCACCTGCCTAAAATGCCTCTCTCCACCGTGTCCACTTGAGGAAAAGGTGACATTTTCTGTGTACCTACTATGTGCCAGTCACTGGGCTAATAAGCTCTACATACACATCACCTCATTCAATTTCCCCAAGTGTCCCCTGAGGTAGGGAGTGGGTGAGAGCACAGACTCTGGGGCCAGACTGCCTAGGTTCAAGTTCCGGCTTTGACACACACCAGCTGGATGTCCTGGGGCAAGTCACTTACCTCTCCATGCCTCCATTTCCTCCTCTGTAAATGGAGTGAACAACAGTACCCACTTCAGATTAAGTGAGCAAGTATATGAGAGCGCTTAGAACAGGCCTGGCACGTGGCAAGGTGTTTGCGATTATTGTTGTTGCTGTTGTTTCTGTTTTATTTCAGATGAGGAAGCTGAGGCTTAGTGGAGTTTCATGATCTACCCAAAGTCCCATTACTAGTCGGTGATAAGACCAGGACAGGATGCCAGTGGGTCTGACTCTTGTGTCTGAGCTCTTAACCCTTCTGCCATTCTGCCCCATACACACTGAGCTCAGCTGCCACCGTCTCCAGGAAGCCTTCCTAGGTTTCTCTATGTTGCCATGGGACCATGTCTGCCTTTCTTTCACAGCTCTAACTACTCTGGTTTGTCATCATCTGCCTCTATCATGGGGCTTTAAACTCCTTCAGGACTGCACTGATCTGCTTCCCTATCCTCAGGGCACAAGGCAAGGCCTGGTGCAGAGGAGAAACCCTATGAGAGTTTGCTGAGCAAATGCCAGATGGTGTGCTGCCCCACCCTGCCCTGCTGACCTGCAGCTGTCCTTCTCTGATGACTCCACGGTAAGGTAGTAAAGATCTCTGGAGATGTGGTATGGATCCCATCGGGGTGGCCCCCGGGTGCTGGCCTTGATGGACCACAGCAGGCCGAAGAGCAGCAGTAGTCCACCTGCACTGCAGCAGAAGAAGCTGATCGACCTGAGCAGGGGCCGGTGGGCCTCAGGCATGGGGAGTTGAGTGGGTAGGACCGGCTGGCCAGGTTGGGCATCTGCATCCCCTTCGCTCCACCAAGCGAAGCAGAGTGTCCCGGCCACCAGAAACACTGTGCCACTGACTGTCATGCGAAAGTGTTGCTGGATAAATGTTCATTGGGCAAAAAGCCTCCCTCCCAGTTGTGAAGAACTGGGAGAGAGAGGGAACACAGGACTCCAGCTGCTGCAGCACAGGGCCATGGAGAACAGTCCTGGCTTTGATCCCCCCTCTGCAGTCACCAACTGTGTCCTGGGGTTAGCCTCTCAACTGCTCTGGGCCTGTTTCTTCATCGTATAAAGGGCAGGCTCTCTAGCAGGCTGAGGTGCTGTCTCTCTTCCAGAAGCTGAGCCAGTGAAGCAGGGGGAAGGGGAACCCTCAGATCTTGAGGGAGACTTCAGAAATCCCTTCCAAATGGGGGCTTGCCCAGCCAAACATGGTACATCCAAATGATGCCCTTATCTGCAGTCATTCAAAGGCATGTTCCTAGGCAAACTGAAGGGCATGGCAAAATGTCCAAGATATGGCAGGTGAAACTGTAGATTTCAAGAGGGCATGTTCTCAAACATGTTTAGAAACACGTGTGCGTGCCTGTGTGACAGAAAGAATGTATACATGTAAAAGGGGTGCTCTGGGAGTGGACACCAATATTTCTGAACCCCCAGACTACTAGAAGCATATAGAGAAACGCCATTTGTAAATTACCTGCAGTTCTGTTCCTGCGAATCTGTCTTTAGGGCAATTGGTTCCTGTCTCCAGTTCAGGGTATTTTCATGGAAGGAGAGGAAGAACCTGACTACTCTCTCCCCAAAGTCAGACAGCTAGGAGAGGCTGTCAAGAGGAGAAACCAGCTTGGGGTGGGGGGGCCCACACATACACACAGCAGATCAAGAACAGTAATAATATGCTCTGCCTGTATGCAACCACACTTGACAGTTCTTCACAGCCAGCATCTCATCTGACTCCCCACGACGGAGCTGAGCGGGCAGGAAAAAATTCCCATTTTACAAATGAGGAGACTGAGCCCCAAAGGGTGAAGGACCTTGCCCAAAGCCAGGTACAGCAGAGTCCTCAGCACCAGAGGAACTCACACGTGGGCACACCCGCATGAGGTAGCCTACGATGCTTTTTACCTTTTATCAAAACAATAGTTGCTCATTGTGAGAAAAGGAAAAAAAACCACAGACGAGAATAAAAATGCAAAATGCAAATCATGAGTAATCTTGCCCCTCAGAGATGAACAGGACCCCATGTAGATGTTCCCTGTCCATCTCTCCCTTGGCCTGTATACCTGACAACGGTGGCAGCAGATGTGGGCTGGGCACTTATCAGGCTGGGCACCACTTTACAGGCGTCCCTTCACTTAATCCTCACAACAGCATTGTACTGGGGCCCCTAGAGTGACAAGTTGTTCAAGGTTGGTGCTGGATATGGACCCAGATCTAGTCTGACTCAAACTCCCTGTGCGTGTGCATAGCTAGGTCTGTCTATATTGTTTAGCATGTAAAGCTGAGAGCATGTTGTGAATACATGCATTTGTAAGTCTTTGGCACAGGCTGCTTCCCCCACCCACCACTTAACTCCTCCAGGCCTCAGACAATCCTGCCATTGCCCTTAGTGTGTTCTCATGTGGTGTCATGGTCATCTCCTGTGTGGGTCTCCCTCCCTCCATGTGGATCCCCCATGGCAGGCAGGGCACATGCCAACCTGCTATCCCCAGGGGACAGAGGTTGTCAACATCCACTGCATGGTGGTGGTTTTCTTTATTTTTACAGATCAGGGCTCCAACTGATTATCACCAGGGTGTCCTGCCCCAAGACTCTCCCTGACCCATTTCAAAGAGGTGGTCTTCAGGCAGTTTATTTGCCCCTCACACTTGTGCACCTCTAGATCCTCCTTGTACCCTAGCGGGGGAGGAAGGAAGGGCTCTCTGCCCCAGACAGCACAATCCCAACCCCAGGGCAGGCAGGAAACTCCCCCAACCCCAGAGAAGTCCCACTCCAACCCTGGCACTCAGTCAGCGACTGCCAGGCCGACCCCATCTCCCTCCTCCCCCTTCCCCAAACTCCTGCCCCGGGAGCCTCTAGAAGACCTGTTGCTCTCTCCACCTGGGGAGCCCTCGGCTCCTATCCAGGGCCCTGGTTTCACCCCCTGTTCAAGACCCAGCCCAAGCACCATCCCCTCCCAGAAGCCGTCCCACTACTACACCCGCCCCCAGCTCCATCCGTCATTCCCTCTGACCATGGCCGTTCTTTCTGTTAGCTCTGTGACCTTGGGCAGGCTGCTCAACATCTCTGGCCTCAAACCCCTGCCTCCCAGGGGAAAGCAGATTATGAAGATGAGATGGCAAGACAGCAAGCTGGAATTGAAGCACAGTGACACAGAGCTGGACAGAGGATGACCCTGGCTCCAACCCCGGGCAAGTTGTGTAACTCCACCATGCCTTCGTGCCCCCTCTGTAAAATGGGCACAATAACACCATACTGCCCGTGAGAATTGAAATACATGAAAACCATGTACTCTCTTATCGTTACGATGTTTATTTCCACCGCAGCACCGAGTAGCTGCCTCCCCCTCCATCCTGCCCCGCTGCCCAGCAGTAGCAGGGCCAGCCGCATCCTCGCTCCGGCCCGACAAGGCGCAGCGCCCTCGGCAAGGCTGCGGGCATTGAGGCCCTGCTCCCGGCAGCAGCGCCGCCCTTCCGCCCGGGCCGCGCGGGCCCCGCCGTTGCCTCCACTCCACGCTACCGGCAAGGGCACTGGAGGTGCCAGTTTCTGTCAAGTAGAAACTGCCTGAACGAGAAGCGGCCCCAACCATCCCCATCTAGCCGCCGGGGCTAATGAGACCCTGAGCGCGGGGCCGAGGCACCAGCAAGACGGAACCCAGAACTCTGCCCACCAAGCCACCGGGCTCAGGGTCGGGGGGTCCCGGCGGGGTCTGCGCTACAGGGAGCGGGATGCCCCCGGGGGAGGGCGAGACGGCGTGTCCACCCACCTCGGGCGGTCGGGCGCGGGGCAGCGCGGGGGCCCCGGCGCGGCTCAGAGCAGCTGGCGGTGGGACCCGAGGACGGCTGCGCCCCGC